TCGCCGCCTCAGACCTCCCTCAGTGCTGGACCGGTGTTACAGGGCATGAGCCACCTTTGCCGGCCTCCAGAACTGAATTTTTAAGAAGCAGCTCATTCGGCCAGATGAGAAAGCAGTCTGTCTCTCATTCAATGAGGGGTATTGCGCCACCCAACTCACCAAATAGAGACGAAATCTTGGCTGGGCACAGTGGCTCCATGTCATCGTGGAATTCGGTTGGAGCCAAGGCGGGCAGGATTCACTAAAGAAGAGAGTTTCGAAGGACCAGCCTGCCCAACATTGAGACTTGGTCTCTACTTTGGGGTCGTATGTTTACAAAATTTAGCCCATGTGGTGATGGCGACATGCCTGTAATCGCCATCGCGTGTTGGGAGGCTGATGGCAGGCGAGAATCACTTTTGGAGCCAGGGATGGTGGGAGGTTGGCAGTAAGCCAAGATCAGGCAACTTTGCACTCCAGCCTGGGCAACAAGAGGCAAACTGTCCGTCGCTCAAAAAAAAAAAAAACAAAACAAAACATAACAAAAAAAACACTAAATGTTGGTTCTCTCTGAGCCTGCTATAATACAAGATAGGCATGGGGGCAGCGTGGCAGTTCCCAGAAAATAACCATAATGGCTTGACCCTGAGTTTTCAGCCTTATCCAAAACCCGTCTTCCCTCCAATTTCAGCTTCAGCGATCACCTGCGCTGAGATACAACATTAGGAACCGATCTTACAAGCAACTAATCTGTGGGAGCGCCTCATGACGCTGCTCTTTTCCCCAAGGACTCTATGTCTGCCAAACCTAAAGGCTTCAGAAATCTGCTGGAAACCCACAACCATCCTCCTGCCCAAGGAGCATCCCTTAACCCTTAGCTGGAGTCTTCAGCCCTGGCAAAGCCCAAGTAGACCCACCTCACCCTGAAAGAAAACAGGCTATTCTCTTTTCCTCGCTTTTCCTTTCCCAGATACCTTTTTCCCAGTCTCTGGTATTCCAAGCCTCCTGCTCTCAGATCCCTCACATCAGCATCGTTGAATCACCCAAAAAAGTATGAATGAGAGAAGGGTGATCCAATGTACAACGAAACCTAGAGATGATTGGAGGCAGCTGATGGCCACTCCCTACCCCAGAGTTGCTGCTGGAGAGATACCACTGCAAGCCAAGGCAGGAAGACAGCTGCAGCCAGGCAGCACATGCTGGAAAACACCGAGCAGGAGACAGCTGAGAGGAAAACAGAAGAGGCTAGTCAAGCAATGGAGAGATATTAGGGTGAGAGGCACTCCGGAGAAGAAACAATTAGACACTGCACAGCAGCAAAGACGAGGGTAAGCAAGGCGAGTGGAGATGAGAAGAGGGTGGAACGCACACTTACTCCTCAGTCCCGGATATAAGCAGGTTCTCACGGCAGTGCCAGCAGCAGTCAGGAAGAGAAGTGCCTTCCAGGATCTGTGGTCTGATGCTTCTCCTTCCCAGCCAGCAGTAAAAGGGAAGGCCAGAAAAATGCCTATGGATTTAAGCAAGAAGGGTGGAGGAGGTGAGGCAGCCTGCAAAGGAAGGAGTGAGGGAGGTGGAAAGGACTGTTAAGCAACCATCTGTGTCCAAGGTTCACTGGCCCTTCACATCTGCAAAAGGGGTGGCTAGGAGCTCTTGGCTCAGCACTTTCTGTGATAAGAAGTCACTCTCTCAGGAATCTCCTTTGTCAGCTCTGCTCTGGGACCGGGGGCCCAGAAGAAAGGACAGTCAGCTGGGTGCAGTATCTGTAGCCCTGGGGAAACTGTTCCAGACCAAGTTAGCTGAGGACAGGACAGTAGCCCAGAAGGAATACACAGCACTCTCTCTCTCTCTGTGTGTCCTCCATGCCCCACCCTAGCCTCTCTTCTCTCTCACCCCAAGCATTTAAGAAAGGGAGGAAGGTTGCACAGTGTGACACAAAGGCTTGTTCCCATGCTGAGATTACAGGAAGTGTAAGAGCAGTCTTTACACCCTGTGACTGGGCGTTCTAAGAGAACTCTGCACACTTCCCCATGCAAAGAGAGACTGGGAGGTTGCCTCCAAACCTGGGCCACTGCCCCAAAGTCTGAGCCTCAGACTACTTCAAAAGAAACACAGTCAAGAGATCAAATATCTGACTGCATCCCCACCAGACCCATGTACCTTTTCATTCTTGACAAAACATACCAAGATTTTTGGGTAAGCATAAATTCCTATGAACGACTTCCTCATATATAAGTTTACTCCACTTTCCTAAAAAATATGAGGAAATCAGGCCGGGCGCGGTGGCTCACGCCTGTAATCCCAGCACTTTGGGAGGCCAAGGCAGCTGGATCACAAGGTCAGGAGATCAAGACCATCCTGGCTAACATGGTGAAACCCTGTCTCTACTAAAAATACAAACAAATAAAAATAAAAATAAAAATTAGCTGGGTGTGGTGGCGGGTGCCTGTAGTCCCAGCTACTCGGGAGGCTGAGCCAGGAGAATGGCAGGGACCCGGGAGGCAGAGCTTGCAGTGAGCCGAGACTGGGCCACTGCACTCCAGCCTGGGTGACAGAGCGAGATTCCGTTTCAAAAAAAAAAATTTAAAATAAAATGAGGAAATCAGATTTCACTGAATTCTGTTGGACAGACAGGCCCAGAACAGGCAGAGAAAGCTGAGCATTTTTTGGAAATCACATAGTTTATGCTGTCTTTATTATTTACTTTAAATCTGGTATTCTATTTTACCAACAGAAATAGACCCTATCCATTCTGAAATCCAACTGTCTGTTTCTTCTCATATCTCTTCTAACCCTCTTTGGTTATTCTACAACCAGAGAATAGAGATCTAAATATCTCTGGGAGACATCTCCACCATACATCCTCCCATTCTAGCTCTTTAAACTTTTAATTTAATCTAGGAGGAGGATTCTGGTGTGAGCGTTCCCAGAGATCATGCTTCTCCCAAGACAGGCTTCACAGTGATCTGAAATCCTTCTGGAGGAGACTATCCTTTTCTCCAAAATGCTCCTGTAATAATAATTGCTATCACTTATTGAGCACTTACCTGGGTCAGACACACTGCTAAGGACTTTAAGCACATCATCTAATGGAACCACCAGAGCTCATATACTCTTAATCACACAAGTATACTATCTCTCCATCTCCCCATCCCCCTGGCCTGCCCTAGTCTCTAGGCCTTCTTTTTATTTTATTTTATTTTATTTTATTTTATTTTATTTATTTATTTATTTAATTTTATTTATTTTTTGTTTGTTTGTTTGAGAGAAGGTCTCACTCTGTCACCCAGGCTGGAGTGCAGTGGCACGATCTTGATTCACTGCAACCTCCACCACCTCCTGGATCAAGCAATTCTCACGCATCAGCCTCCTGAGTAACTAGGATTATGCCTGGCTAATTTTTGTGTTTTCATTTTGGTATTTTTATTTATTTTGTTTTATTTTATTTTATTTTGAGACAGAGTCTTGCTCTGTTGCCCAGGCTGGAGTGCAGTGGCACGATCTCGGCTCACTGCAACCTCCGCCTCCCAGGTTCAAGCAATTCTTCTGCCTCAGCCTCCTGAGTAGGTGGGATTACAGGTACACACCAGCACGCCCAGCTAATCTTTTGTGTTTTTAGTAGAGTCGGGGTTTCACCATATTGACCAGGATGGTCTTAAACTCCTAAACTCAGGCAATCCGCCCACCTCAGCCTTCCAAAGTGCTAGAATTACAGGCATAAGCCATCGTGCCCAGCCTAATTTTTGTATTTTTAGTAGAGATGAGGTTTCGCTCTGTTGGCCAGGCTGGTCTTGAACTCCTGGCCTCAACTGATCCACCTGCTTCTGCCTCCCAAAGTGGTGGGATTACAGGAATGAGCACCACCTTAGACCTTGCTTTTGGACAGGAATGACCTACATGAATTACCTGGAGGAAGATGTAATCAGACTAGACTAAAAAGAAAGAAAGCCTCTGTCATCCTTCAGTCTATAGCCTAGACTAAAGGCTCCAACAAAGTTTGTTAATCTCCTTCCTGGCTGCCCCTCCCCTTTCTCATTCTTTGCAGGGATAAGAGGTGATTACAAGTCCTCTTGGCAGTGCTGCTATGGCTAGGGTGCCCACTTCTAAAGCAAACAAAAGAAAACACAAACACATCATCACGCCTGCCCTTTTAAGACCAAATTCACTGGCACCAAGGGGTGGGCATGTGTCCTAATATGATGTAAAAGAAAGGAAGGAAGGAGGGACAAAGGAAGGGAAAACTGTGAGGGGGAATGGAGAGAGAAGTGTACAGGGTTTCATTCCTGACTGGTGGCATCTGAAAAGTGAAGTCCTATCCGTGGAATTTTGAGACAGAAATCTGCTGGGGGAAAACCCGCACTCCAGCAAACAGCATGCCCTAGTGGTAGCACCAAGAAGTGCTAGTGGACTCTAACCTACTTCAGTCTGCCCATGCAAACTAGGCAAGGGAGGCTGCCATTCATAGAGAACATGAAGCCCCTGTCTTTTCTCAACCACTACCTAGCACCCTGGACAAGAAGGCACCATCTTTGGCAGCTCACATTTCTCCCTAAGACCCCAGGTCTTAGGGTAATGCTTCCGCCATTCAGGCAGCCTGCAACCAACAACATCCCTAGGCTCTCCCAAAGGGGCTCTTCTGCCCCAGGTTTTCTTTTTTTTTTTTTTCTTTTTTGGGGGGGGTTTGGGTTTTGGAGGGTTTTTTTTCTCCGAGACGGAGTTTTGCTTTGTCCCCCAGGCTGGAGTGCAGTGGCGCAATCTCTGCTCGCTGCAACCTCCACCTCCCGGGTTCTCCTGCTTCAGCCTCCCTAGTAGCTGGGATTACAGGCACCCACCACTATGCCCAGCTAATTTTTAATTTTTATTTTTTTTATTTTTAGTAGAGACGGGGTTTCACCATGTTGACCAGGCTGGTCTCGGACTCCTGGCCTTGTGATCCTCCCACCTCAACCTCCCAAAGTGCTGGGATTACAGGTGTGAGCCACTGCACCTGGCCCACCCCAGGTTTTACATGAGCAACCCCATAAGATAACAGCAGCCCTGGTCGTCTTTCCCTGTCTGAGATGCATTCATCTCTGAACACCCAGTGAAGATTACAGGACAACACACTCATCCTACAGCCTGTGGAAGAAATTTGATTCAGAAACTGGCAGCAGGGCCTCCAGTATGCAGTGCTGGGCAGAACAGTCAGTGGAGCCCCTCACCCTAACCTCACCCTCGAATGGCAACACCAAAACACACTTCCTCCAGGAACTAGCACATAACTCAGGGTCTTGGCTCCTCAGCCGAGCTCAGGGAACTACTGTAAGAACACACTTTCTCTCCCAGAGACCCCATGTCCTGCCTTCCTGGCTCCAACCAGTCTGTGCTGCCTCCCCTAACAACAGAAACAGAAAACAGATACACTCTGGTATGACTAGATTTCCCCATCACTCCAAGCTAGAAGCTCAGCTCCTCCCTCCCCAGTTCTCTGTTTGTTTTTCTATATTCTACTGTGGCTAAGTCAGTCTCTTAAAAAAAAAAAAAAAAAAGGTGAAACAAAAAAGAAACTGTTTACTCCTGTGGCCAGGGCTTCCATTAAGGAAGGGCTGAAGTCTCTGGGCAGAAGTTTCAGCCCAGGGAGGGACACGGCTGGGATCAAGAAACAGGAGGCTCTTGGGTCTCCATTCAGCCGATTTTTAGGACTCACTCCATCCTCCTCCTACACTTCCCCTCTCACCCACTGTCCCTTCTCTCCCACCTCTTACCTGTCCAGTGACCTTTGGGCAGGTGCAGGGAGGAGGGGCTACCAGCTCAGTCAAGGGAGAGGGGAAGGTGCTAGTTAGGAGAACCAAGGGTATGGCTCACGCTGCAGCAGCTGTTGACTCTGAGGAGCAGAAAAAAGCAGAGGGTAACGGGGACTGAAATGGAAAACAGGAAAACACATGTGTGACTCTGGCCGGCAGCGGGGAGGGGCCAGGGGACGGGCTAGAGCTGGGACTGCCTGGTCAGACCCAGAGGACCTCAATGCCTGCCAGCCTTCAGGCACCTTCTCCACTACACTGGCACCAAATACCTGAGTCTCAGCTCCTTCTCCCTCCTTCAGCCCCACCTCCCTCTTTCTTGTTGCCCTACATTTACTGAGCATTTAAGCTTTCCCCTCCATTGATAGTGACCTCTGATGCCTCTTGCAACTCCCCTCATTCCATTTCCTAATCATCTCCCACTCACTCCCATTCATGTACTATCCTTAGTCCTGCAGAGGGGATACGATCCCATGGTCAGAAGGAAACTTTGCAGTCCCATCTCAAGAGTGTCAGCGCCATTTCAGCCCCTAAAGCAAGCCAAGGGAGGTAATGCAGGCCAAGGAAGACCACTTATAGGAGGACAGCCAAGCACATTTAGACACCAAGCAAGCTCACTCACAGCTGAGATCTCTAATTGGTTCAGGTGATATCGATGTGTGTCACCAGGTAAGAGCCAACTGGGCCATGGCACCCTGGGCAGACTAATGAGTTGGCATCCCTTCAAACCAGTTTTATTTAAACATCTGTCGAACGTTTACTTAGCAGAGGTGGGGGAAATACCAATTTTCCTGGAATACAAATTGTGTAAGCCTCTTTATATTCAAAATTAGAAATTATTACGTATCAGCCGGGCGTGGTGGCTCACGCCTGTAATCCCAGCACTTTGGGAGGCCAAGGCGGGCAGATCACAAGGTCAGGAGTTTGAGACCAGTCTGGCCAACATAGTGGAACCCCGTCTCTACTAAAAATACAAAAATTAGCCAGGTATGGTGGTGGGCACCTGTAATCCCAGCTACTTGGGAGGCTGAGGCAGGAAAATCGCTTGAACCCGGGAGGCAGAGGTTGCAGTGAGCACTCCAGTCAAAAAAAAGAGAAGAAATTATTACACATCTTCATCACATGCAATATTCTGAAGCAAACAGCTTCTTGGTAAGCACAGTAAACCACTTAAAATCAGATAATAGTATAAATCTCTTGCCCTCAGGGAGCAGCACTTCACAGTGCATCATGCATTTTTGGAATTACAACTGTGACTAATGCCTTTAAGCAACTGTCAGCTGGCTGGCCCCTGGGCTACACCCTGCAATTTGCACCTGTCTTGCAAAATTACTCCAGACACAAGTAGTCCAGGTAAGGAGTTGTCAATAAGTCTATGTCACTGGATGAAAGCCAACTCATATTTCACCAAGACACAGAAATCATAGTACACTGGCACCAAATACCTGAATTATTGCAAAGATAATTTAGTGTCTTTTAGACACTCTCAGTCTGCTACCCAACTTGCTGGCCCCTTACCTGCACTCTGGGGTCGAGTCCAAGTTGTGAGGGAAGACCTAGGAAGAGGAAGCTGTCTTTGCCTGCATGGGCCCCCCTGCTGTCTTCCTCATTCCACTACAGCTTCACTGGCTTCCCTGCTGTGGCCACACAGCAAGCACGCCCCCGCCTCACAGCTTTTGCAATTTCTGTTCTCCCTGCCTGGAACATGCTTCCCAGTGATATTGTCCATTCCCGGTGTCATTTGTTTGCTGTCACCACCCCCACTAGAATGTAAGCATCACAAAAGCTTTGTTCACCACTGTATCCCCGCAGAGCAGGACTCACATAGACAGTTAATAAATGTTTGCTGGGTTAATAAATGAATGAACGAACTATGTTATTTATTTGATTTCCCAGGTAGCTAGGCTCCTGGGCATGTCCTTGAATTTGCTCTCCAGGCCCTCCTGTTTGGCTGCCGCTCTGACTCCTAAGCAAGGAGTACCCGGAGGTACTCTTTTTGACAGTAATGTGTTAAAGGCAAAGTAGAAAGTATGGCTTTCACGGTTTTACTGGGAGGCCTAGAATGATTTGAAACGGACTTTTGTTTCATTAATGGGAAAACCAAAGCAAAACAAAAAGCCTATCATCTAACACTCTTTCCCTGGATCCAGGAAATTCTTGTCTGCTCTACCTCACACCCAGGTTCAGGTGACCGGTCTGGGTGCGGCGTGGAGATGACGAGAGCTAAGTGCTACAGCTGCGAAAGGGTGAAGGGCAAAGGAGGAAAAGGCCGAGGGAGGCGAACGCTCAGGTTCATGCATATGCAAGTGGGTTCTACAGCGGAACTTCGAAGCATACACTCAACTCCCCACCATGCGCCCCGCCCGCTGCTCTTCCCCGGAAAAGCTCTCCCCTAGCCCGCGATCCTCGCTGGCCTAGCCCCTGGCCGTTCCCATCCCCCTCTCCGCCCCTGCCCAACCTGCTGGCCTCACTCACCTTTGTCCCTTTCTCCCACCCCCACCCCGCAATCCACCCTCGCTTTCTCCGGTCCCCTGCCATTTGTTTCGCTTTTATTTCCCTCCTTCTTTTGGGTACCCAGTCTGCGGTCCTAGGACAACGCCTTCCCAAGCTCGGACCCAGCCACCGTCCGCCTTCATTACCCCTCTGAAGAACAGGGTCGCCCCCGAGGCCCAGGTCTGGCTGTGGGGGCCCACTCGAGCTCTGCCTTGGGGGACCAGGACCTCACCCCAACAGGCGTCCCTTCCGCTCCCTCCACCTGGCCAAGCCGCCCCCGCCCTTCCACCGACTCTAGGAAGCGCTAGAAGAGGGGATTGTCGTGGGTGTAGGCGAAGGGCGCAAAGGTCCAAGCACTGAGGCCTCGCAACCCGCTCCCCTGTCCGCTCCTCGCTCCCGCACAGCTGGATTGCTGCGGGGAAATGAAAATGACCGCGGACACCCTTAGAGACTGGTCGTCTACCCCATGAACGCTCAGCTTCCTCTTCCCTCCCTCCCAACCCCGCATAAGCTGGCTGCCAGACAGGGGTCGGGGCGAGAGCCCCCACCCCTGGCCACAACTGCCTCCTGCCCCGAGATGCTTAGCTGAATCTGGGTAGGACCCCCAGACTGGAAGCCCCTTGTGGGGGGGGGGCGGGGGCGGGAGCGGGAGGCGGGGCGAGGAAAGGTGCCTGCTCGGAGCCGGAGGAGGGGTCTCCCGAAGGCAGTCTCTTCTACTCCGGGATCCCGACTCCCCGCCCCCTCGGGGGAACTGTTGCATCAGCTTCCAGATTCCAAACCAGAGAAAGTGAACTCCACTAGGCTGGGAAGGCGTCGAGCATTAGAGCCGCCGCCAGGAGGCAGCGCTTAATAAAAAATGTCGGGCAGAGGGGCCCAGGATAACGGAGTCCCCGGAGCATCTTTCATCTGAAGTCTTAGCAGCAGCGCGGACCTAACAAAAAAGGGAGTTGCTGAATTAGTTCAAGAAAAGGGAACTGGAAATGCTTCATCACGTTTTAAAGCTAAAAGATGGCTTGTAAATAATACAACTACCTTTTGGATACCTTTTGGACAATCTAGCTTTGGGGTTTTTTTAAGCCAACGTTGGCGCTCTGCGGAGATCCACAAACAGCCACCGCCTTCAAGACCAGTCTGATAGAAACACAGAGAGCTTACGGAATTTCCCAGCCCCCAGGCAAAGAGGAATGTAGTCCGAAGTCATGATTTGCCCATCTTGAAGCTCAATCATTTAACACCTAATTTAGCCAGTACTGATATAGCAGAGATTTGACAGTTCTGGGAAAAGAAGCAGAATATGTTGCAATAAATTATGTAAGCAGTAAGGAAATAATATGCAAAGTACTGTATTGAGTGATTTGTAGCCACAGTTCTCACATTTCTTGCATGAGGTGACAGTGATTTGATCTTTGTGCTGTCCTAAAAAGGGAGATAATGAAAGAATTCCCAAACAGTTCACTCTTACCTCCACAACTTCTTCAATCTTAGAATATTCGCACAGGCATGCAAAAAGGAAAAGAGATTGCAAAATGAAGTAGAATTGCCTACCCAGAGTCAGCTTCCTTCGTCTTATGTTCCTTCTCCAATGTCATCATTATCAATCACAACAATTACAAGGCACCTAATTTCCCAGAGCAAAGCACTTGTACAAAAGTAACTGTAGGGGCCGGGCGCGGTGGCTCACGCCTGTAACCCCAGTACTTTGGGAGGCCGAAGCGGGCGGATCATGAGGTCAGGAGATCGAAATCATCCTGGCTAACACGGTGAAACCCCGTCTCTATTAAAAATACAAAAAAAAAAAAAAAAAAAAATTAGCCAGGCGTAGTGGCGAGCGCCTGTAGTCCCAGCTACTTGGGAGGCTGAGGCAGGAGAATGGCAAGAACCCGGGAGGCGGAGCTTGCAGTGAGCTGAGATCCGGCCACTGCACTCCAGCCTGGGCGACAGAGCGGGACTCCGTCAAAAAAAAAAAAAAAAAAGTAACCGTATAAATACAAACGTACAGAACAGAAAGAGGCTGTTTGGATAAATATATTAGACAAAGCATGAGCTCATTGCACCCTTGAACTTCTGGGCTAAAGTAATCCTCCAGCCTCAGCCTCCCAAGTAACTGGGACTTGCTGGTGGGTGCCTACAGGTGGGTGCCCAGGTTATTATTATTATTATTATTATTTTTTAATTGAGTCTCGCTCTGTCGCCAGGCTGGAGTGCAATGGCACCATCTCGGCTCACTGCAACCTCCGACGCCCTGGTTCAAGGGATTCTCCTGCCTCAGCCTCCCCAGTAGCTGGGATTACAGGCACGCACCACCACGTCAGCTAATTTTCGCATTTTTAGTAGAGACTCGGTTTCACCATGTTGGTCAGGATGTTCCCAATCTTTTGACCTCGTGATCTGCCCGCCTCCCCCTCTCAAAGTGTGGAGATTACATGCGTAAGCCACTGCGCCCGACTTTTTTTTTTTTTTTTTTTTTTAAAGAAACAGAGTCTTGGCTGTCTCTAAAAACTACAAAAATTAGCTGGGCATGGTGGCGTGCACCTGTAATCCCAGTTACTCGGGAGGCTGAGGCATGAGAATCGTTTCAACCCAGGAAGCGGGGGTTGCAGTGAGCCGCCATCAAGTCGCTGCACTCTAACCTGGGTGACCGAGGGAGACTCTGTCTCAAAAGAAAAAGAGAGAGAGAGAGAGAGAGAGAGCGCCAAAGTCTTTCTGTGTTGCCTAGGCTGAGAAAGCAAAATGTTAAAGCCAAATACAGGGCATGACGCCCTTGAAAAACAAAGCAGTTTAAGAGAGGAAACACATGAAGCACAGATGCCTGATGCTTCACATTATTCTTAATTCCAGTCTTTGCCAGTTGAAGTCCAGAGGTTAAAAGACATTCAGTTTAGGATGACGAAGCTGCTTTCCTGTGGCTTCTGAGGCTGATGAAGTCATAGAGGAGTGCTGTCCAGGTGCCAGACCCCTCCCTCCAACAGAGTTCCATGAGGTCCCTGAGAATGCTGATGATGTTGTCAGCGCTCTGGGGTTCTCTCTCTCTCTCTCTCTCTGTGTGTGTGTGTGTGTGTGTGTGTTGTGTCCAGGGAGGCTGAGATGAGAGGTAGCTGTTTCGGTGAGGAGCCCTTTCTGGTATTTACAACCCATGGATTGTCCCCCTGCTGTATCACACTAACCACATCAAAGGTTAAATTTAGGGAGGCCCAGACAGGAAGATTGCTTGAGCCTAAGAATTCAAGACCAGCCTAGGAAACATAGCAAGACCCCATCTCTTTAAAAAAAAAAAAATGTATATATATATAAAGGCTGAACTTGTCTTCCTTTTTTTTTTTTTTTTTTTTTTTTTTTTGAGACGGAGTCTTACTCTGTGGCCCAGGATGGAGTGCAGTGGCACAATCTTGGCTCACTGCAACCTCTGCATCCCGGGTTCAAGTGATGCTCCTGCCTCAGTCTCCCAAGTAGCTGGGACTACAGGTGCCCAGCACCACGCCTGACTAGTTTTTGTACTTTTAGTAGAGATGAGGGTTCACCATATTGGCCAGGCTGGTGTCGAACTCCTGACCTTGTGATCCGCCTTCCTTGGCCTCCAAAAGTGCTGGGATTACAAGCATGAGCCATGGCGCTTCTAAAGACCCTTCTCTTCCCAGATTTCCTAGTTCCAATGAAACTTCCCACCCTGCTCTCAAAGTCCTCCAGCTCTGGCTCCTTGACTCCCACATCTGCTAAATAATTGTACTTGTCCACTTTTGCATGCTGTGTTCATATTATACACATTATTTGTTCACCTAAATGCATATGCCCCACTCCACCCCAGGTGTTTTTTTGTTTGTTTGTTTGAGACAGTATCTTGCTCTGTCACCTAGGCTAGAGGACAGTGGTGTGATTACAACTCACTGCAGCCTTGACCTCCCCAGGCTCAGGTGATCCTCCCACCTCAGCTTCCCACATAGCTGGGACTATAGGCACACGCCACCATACCTGGCTAATTTTTGGTTTTGCTTTTTGTTTTTTGTTTTTCCAAGATGGAGTTTCACTCTTGTTGTCCAGGCTGGAGTGCAATAGCGTGATCTTGGCTCACTGCAACCTCCGCCTCCCACATTCAAGTGATTCTCCTGCCTCAGCCTCCCAAGTAGCTGGGATTACAGGCATGTGCCACCACACCCAACTAATTTTTGTATTTTTAGTAGAGACAGGTTTTCGCCATGTTGGCCAGGCTGGTCTCGAATCCTGACCTAAGTTATCTGACTGCCTCGGCCTCCCAAAGTGCTGGGACTACAGGCATGAGCCACCCCGCCTAGCCAATCTTTTGTATTTTTTGTAGAGACAGGGTCTCACCATACTGTCCAGGATGACCTCGAACTCCTGGGCTCAAGCAGTCCTCTCACCTCCCTGACCTCAACATCCCAAGTAGCTGGGACCACAGGTGCATGCCACTATGCCCTGCAAAACACACACACACACAAAAATTAAATTTTAGTAGAGGTAAGGTCTCACTATGTTGCCCAGGCTAGTCTCAAACTCCTGGGCTCAGGTGATCCTCCAGGCTCAGCCTCCCAAAGTGCTGGGATTACAGGCCATGAGCCACAGTACCTGGCCAGTTTGTCATCTTTTCTTGTTTGTGTGTGTGTGTGAGAGAGAGATGGAGTTTCACTCTTGTGTGCAATGGCGCAATCTCGGCTCACCACAACCTCCGCCTCCCGGGTTCAAGCGATTCTCCTGCCTTAGCCTCCCGAGTAGCTGGGATTACAGGCATGCACCACCACACCCAACTATTTTTGTCTTTTTACTAGAGATGGGGTTTCTCCATGTTGGCCAGGCTGGTCTCAAACTCCCGACCTGATCCTCCCACCTCGGCCTCCCAAAGTGCTGGGATTACAGGCGTGAGCCACTGCGCCCCGCCACTTGTCTTTTCTGTCAATCCTGTATGTTGACACTTGGGTAGTTCTTCGAGCCTTTGGCTTCTGCTACTTGATTCCCCAAATGTAAACTGTGAGACTCCAGTGCTGTACACCTCACCTGTCTATCTCAAGGCCAGCCAAAGGCTCAAGGAACCAAGCTTGGGAAAAGTGTCACTCAGTCTCCATTCTTCCTTTAACTGTAAAACAATAAATTCAGGGCCACATTTTGGTTCAATTTTTTGATTCCTAAAAATGAC